ATATTAAATATTCTTTTTGAAAATCCTTTAATACATGTTTCGTTAAAAATGAAAATATAAAACTTTTTATTTTCAAAAATTTTGTATCTTCTAGTAACATAAAAAAATTTTCCGTTCAAAAGGCTGTTTTTTCAGGACATAGTATATTTGGATTTGCCAAATGGTTGCTCATTTCGTGAAATATAGATTCTTTATTAACCATTTTCAGGGATTTGGGTTGTGCTATTCTAAATGGCGTGTAAATTCTCTTGGAAACAGTCTAAAAGTCCCTTAAAGGTAGCCCTATTCTTAATCCCCGAATATGGCCAGTAAATTGTCTGTGTTCATTGATGATGATTGCAGCATTTTCCAAATTATTTTCAGGTCTTTTTTTTTTTTTTTTATTTTTTTTTATTTTCGATTTTTTTACAAAAATTTTTTTTTTTTTTATTTTAAATGAGTCTGTATTTATTCTTTCATTAATATTGAATTTATTGATTTTACTATTTTATTTTACTATTGTGCACGGAAATATTTTATACTGAATTAGATGAAATCATATTCATTTTTTTTTTCGCTTTTATGTTTTTAAACCAATTTATAACATCTGTTATGTTTTCCGTTATTTTATTCTCATTTTACTCGTATTTTTGATTTCGTATTTTCTTTCTTATCTTTCCAATTTCGCACTTAACGGGGTTTATTAGTCTAAATGGCTGCTTCCTTTTAAAACTACCCCGATGGCTTTTAATTATAATCTGTGCTTGTAAAAAATTTTAAATTGCATTATGTTTCCTTTTTTGTGGATAATGTAATGGTTAACGGTACTGAAATGAATTTCCAATTTTTTTTTTTTATTTTTTTTCCGACCATCTTATTCGTTCTTTTTTGCTAAAAATCTTTTTTCTATGAATCAATCTTAGCCTGACTATGGGTTAAATAATTAGTAGACTGGGCCTTCTTGCTTTTTGTGTTTCAGTCTAAAACAAGGAAAACCCTTTCAATTCTGTTTCAATGCTCTACGTCGAGCTGTCTTGCCCTAGACAAACAAATGATGCTATGGCTACAGTACATATGGTATCCAGGCGACTATCCTTTAAATTCGGTTATGTTGATATTTCTTTAGCTTTTAAAATTGATTCCCATTGTTGTTGTGCGCATTTGCTTTATTTGATTTTTTTCTTTTGTATGATTTTGTGATATTGTTATGTATAAGTTTTTTTAAAATATATATATATATATATATATATATATATATATATATATATAAATATAAACATTTTAAATATTTAAGTAAATGCTCTGTTTATAATAAACAGTATGAAACAACATTTACCGGCCTGAATGTCCGAGAAATTTTCACAGAAAATATTCGTCCTCCGACATGATTCCAACCTGTATTCTATACGGAACCGTCATTTTACTTGACGTGCCTTTAACCGATTTGGTCACAGAGGAGCGTTCGGTTAGCAAGGTCGAATTTACTGTATTTGCACTTCAATCTTCCATGAATCTCTCACGTACATTCATATCTGTATCAAATGTAAACAAATGACGTCACACATTATGAAATGGACAAAGTCCGACAATTATTTTAAGACATTTTTATGTTTCTCCTGATGATGGCCATGTTGGCCGAAACTAGTTGAGGAATCTAAATGAAATAATAATAAAAACGAAAGAATATTAATATACAACCAAGTGTGTCTGAAGATTTTAACTTTTTAATATTTTTTCAAAAAAATTATATATTTATATATATATATATATATATATATATATATATATATATAACCATATATATATTTCCAAGAGGATAGAATCCAGGTAGAGCTCAATGCTCAGGACAGAAAAAGAAACAATGTGTGTAAGGTGTGTGTGTGTGTGTGTGTGTGTGTGTGTGTGTGTGTAACGAATGCACGGCCGCAACTTTCGACGGATTTGCATCAAAATTTACATGCACATGCTCCAAGTTAACAAGGAAGACCGACTTTGCATTTCCCAACTGTCTTTAAAACCCAGTAATTTTTTGAAAAGTTATATCAAATTCGCTTGATGATGTAATGGAACTAATGCTTTTTTATTTAATTGCAAAATTAAATTCAAAAGTTTTAGCTTCTATTTTTGAAACAAGGTTAGAACTGTGTAGTTAAAAAAACATATTTTAAATCAATTAATTTATAATATTAATACTCTGTAAATTTATATTGAGCACTATTTTGTAAAAATAAAAATATCTATAAGAACACCGGATTATATATCTTACTGTTCTTTCTTTTTATTTATATACATATATATATATATATTGACCTCTAATATTATCAATATATACAGTGCTGTTCGATAAAATTGACTCAACTGATTTTTTTTGCTAAATGTTCTCTTCTCCGATGAAACGAAAGTTGAGCTAAATTCAAAGGATAAGCGATCTACAATCCGAAGAAGAAGCTTTGAAAGCTCTTTGAATTTAGCAGTAAGTACTGTCAAGCATCCGTTCAGTATAATGTTCTGGAGATGCTTTTCTTTTCATGGGACTGGTTTCTTAAAACCTATTGAAAAGACCCTCAGGAGCGAGCAGTACAAGAGAATTTTAGAGTCTTGTCTGCTCCCTTCTGCTGAAAGGGTGCAAATCGACCCCACCAAGCTCATTTTTATGAAGGATAATGCTCCCTGTCACAAATGAAAATTGATGAAGGAATACTTTGATTAGAAGCAGGTGAGTGTTATGACATGGCCGCCCCAATCTCCTGACCTCAACCTCATGGAAAACTTATGGGGCATGTTGCTCAACTGCTTTCTCGAGAGCCTGTACTTTATAATGCTCCATGGCGGATGTCAGCCTGCGTATCGCGAACAATATGACTAAAATATGCTGAAGTCTCATAATGCATGAACCACATGCGTCTTCGGATGAGCAGGGATACATCCTCTATCAGGTAGGAAGTGTGTTCCAAATAAAGTCCCTGGAGACAGCTCCTTTAAGACGGAAAACATATGGACCTACCAGGGAGTCACCTGCAATTCAATCCCACACATTAATCGTAAACTGATGCTGGTGTCTATCATGTACTATACCATGGGGATTCCGATTTTCCCACAAATGATGGTTGTGTAAATTTGTTATTCCATCTCTTCCAAATGTTGCCTCATCCGTAAACAAGACTGAAGAGACAAACAACGGATCGTCAGTTTGTGCAATAAACCATCGGCAAAAGTTCTCCCGTGGAGAGTGACCAGAGGACGAAAGACCCTGCACACGTTGCAGATACAGGAGCTTCGCTTGAAATATCCTCCATGTGATAATATGAGATGTCTGACATATTATATGTATGACGTGTACGGAAACTGGATCGTCTCCGACAGTCTGTAAAATGTGTTCTTCGTGGTCAGACATACGAGCAGAACTCGGTTTTCTTCAATCCATAGATTGTGATGCAACAGATTCTGTCTCGGAAACTCGACTATAAACATCAGCAAAGGTTGGATGACCCGGCTGCCTTTTGTCAGGAAACACAGCCGTGCATCCTCGCGTCCATTACCATTCACGCAGCCGTTATGTAAAATTCATATCTGCTTGCTCATGATATGAATATACTGCCATTGTTAAACAGAACAATTCTCAGTTAACTCATTGCTATACACGTTCGACGTTAAAGACAGACTATCCACAAATGTACACGAATGACAAATGTAACTAAATCTTCATAGCAACAGTGCTACCGTAAAGTTTCTTTCAACTTAATAATTCAAAAACAAAGGATTTGCGGACAATTTTTGTCCTTCTTTTGCCATTTTGCCTGTTCTGCTTTAGAATGAAGACTCGCATTATAAGGATAAGTGTGCTCCTCTACAGGTGTAGCATTTATCTTAAAAACCAAAGAATGCAAATGAAAATCCCCTATTGTAGTTGCGAATGTTTCCCTGAAATGGGCTAAACTATCCTATTGAATATATATATATTTGTATAAGCATGTCCCCGACCAATTGAAATCTTATTACCAATTCCCACCGATTTTATTAGAACTTTTAACTGGATGGGAAAAAAGTGAGTGTATTTTCATTGAATATATACCGAATAATAGATATTTAGAAGGATTAGTAGTCGTTTCTTATCTTATTTTTTTCTTTTATTATTATTATTATTATTATTATTATTATTATCTTCGTCCTTATGTTTTTTTCTGTTTTCAAATCCGGAAATTTTGCATTATGGGTATTCGCCATCAAGTCATATGTCCTCACACAGTGATCACCTTTCACGGAATATTTGCAATGTCAAGTAACGCAGACTTCTGAAGCGATGAGACACTAAGTTTATTCCGAGTTTATCAATATAGGGCTTTATTTTTATTATTATTAGTAGTAGTAGTAAGTAGTAGTAGTAGTATTCTCTTTGATTTCTGTTGTATACACATTTCCTTCCGGGTCCCAACCAGAGATCTAAGGTCAGATATGGCTTCATGAAATTTTCCACTAATCATTTTTTGTAAAAAAAATAAAGATTACACACAAAAAATAAACTAAGGTTACATACATAAAGCTCTTCGTAATTTGTGAGATGTACTTGTGAGCACAATTGCTTGTATTTCTTTATTAGTCGTAGTAGTAGTTGTAGTAGTACTATTACTACTACTATTACTACTGATTTACAGTTTTATACCATCCTGTGCCTCGAGTCTTTTAGTTGAAACCTGCAGTAAAATAGTAATGAATTTCCTGGGACTGTTTAAATGTGTGTATCATTATTTTTTTTTTTTACTAATACAGATTCATATGATTACTGTAATATTGATTATGCCAAATCTTTGCAATTTCTATTTGCTGGTCTATATATTTTCAAAGTTTGTCAAATTCTTTTACTGAAATGTTTCGCTTTGTTTATTGTAGTTCTTACTTTCATTTAAGCTGTTCGAAAGGACTGTTCAGTCCCGGCTTTGTCGCCGGAATTCATGATGCGGTCATGAAGAACCAAGCAAGATGGATATATTCATATGAAGGTTCTTTTCTCGAAGCCATCTTACCAACCACCCAGTCCGTAGGTTGTTTCAAGAAAGACAATAAAATACGACTCACCGTGGTTGTCACGGACAACGGCTACCATATCTTATTGTTTTCACAACTTGGGGAATTGCTTGCAGACAGAAATAACTCGGACATATGCCGGGCAGTCAGCGGTCAGGGGGTCGTTAAAATGGACAGCCCGTTACGAATCGCAGATTTCCTGTAGTGATTTAATGATAAAGTGATACGCTTGCCAAAGTTGTTTGTCTGTTCGTCTGTCAAACCAGACGCTATCAACATTATTATTATTATTATTATTATTATCATTATTATTATTTCCTTTGATTTCTGGTGTGTACACATTTCTTTCCGGGTTCCGACCAGAGACCTAAGGTTAGAAATGGCATCATGACATTTTCCACTGACCAATTAAAAAAAACGCCACAAATATATTTTACATGGATAAAGCCTTTCGTAAGCTGTGGCCTGTACCCGTGAGAATTTTTTTTTTTTTTTAAGGCATGGACTTCCAGTAATCCCTTCAATTAGTCTACTGGAATCTTTTCCAACCAATCCGAGGGCTCCAACTACAACTGGAATTGTTAATGCACTTAGGCGCCAGATATTTGAGATTTCGATTTCAAGGTCCTTGTATATCATTTAATTTTTTGAAGATCTTCAAAGATACATTGCAGTCTGCTGGGACTGACATGTCAATAAGAAAACATATTCTCTTTTCGCGGCCCCTGATCACAATGTCTGTTCGATTAGTTTTGATTGTTCTGTCTGCGTTTATGTGTGTAAAGTCCCATAAAATTGTTGTAGGTCTTATGTCTGTAACTAAGTCTGTATGGTGTTCCTACCAATTTCTTGCAGTTTCCTTCTGTAAAAGTTCGTATTCCTTCGTTGATTAATTCCTTATTTACCATTTATGTTTCGCCCTACCAATACAGGAATCCCTTCGATCAGTGCGACTAATATGTACATTATTAATCGAATATAATAACTTATAGGAAATAAGTCAATTTGTACCTCAATCTTTAGTCTCATTCACAATTAATTTATAATTTATATACTTTTTTTCTTCGGGGCCCGACCAGAGACCTAATGTCAGAAATGGTATCATAATATTTTCAACTGACCTGTTTTGTAGCAAAAAAATCGCTAATATTTTACATAGATAAAGCTTTTTTGTAGAGTATGGACTGTACTTGTGAGGACATTGCTTTTATTTCTGTAAGGCATGAGCTACCAGGGATTCCTTCAATGTGTCTATTGGAATCTTTTCCAACCAATCCGAGAGCTCAAACTGCAACAGGAATTATTAATGTTCTTATGCGTCACATTTTTGAGATATCGATTTCAAGGTTCTTGTATTTTGATAGTTTTTGAAGATCTTCAGGGATACATTGCAGCCTGCAGGGACTGTCATGTCAATAAGAAGGTACATTTGACTATGCAGTCTCTAATTACGTTGTCTGGGCGATTAGATTTGATTGTTCTGTCCGTGTGTATTGTAAAGTCCAATAAAATTGTTACAGGTCCTCCTTCCTTTCATACTAATTTTTGCAATTTCCTTTCCGTAAGTGTTGCAGATTTTCCTGTGCGGATATTGGCCCAATCTGTCATGCCGGGTTTTGTATGTAGTGGGTGCCAATGCCACGCAACCTGATACAAGATGATCAACTGTTTCTGGATATTTTTCAGTATATGTGCTTGGTAATTTCTAATTAACAACCATTGGTCTTGTGCAGTTTCAGCTTTTAATCCTGAACTACACAGTCACTGATAGGTACGGGGTTTGTCTGCATCACCTTGTTTGGTATGAGCAGAGTATTGACCGTGCAGCGGTTTATCTTGCCATCGTTTCTGTACCTGGTCGGTTGCATTTGTTTTTGCTTTCTTTTTTAATTATTTTGCATTTCTTCAGCCAATTGAAACTCTATTTTGAACTTGTTGGTTTCCTTTATTACTGAATAAAGTCGATTATTACTTTCATGTTCTTTGACACAGATAATCACCCAGTCTTCTGTAATTTGTAGGTATTTTCGAAGGCCAATTGGATTTTATTCTTTTTTTTTTAATTTTTTTTTTCACTTCAGCTCAGTATTCAGTAGCAGACGCACACGCCTGTAGTACTCCTTTCATACCTTCTCCTTTATTTGGGCATACTGTATTCCATATCCTTTGCTAATACCTAAGTACCTATAGGCTTCTTCTTATTTCAGTTCCCTAATCTTTGTGCCAATATTTAATTATTATTATTATTATTATTATTATTTTCTTTGATTTCTGGCGTTTACACATTTCTTTCCGGGTCCCGCCCAGGGACCTAAGGTTAGAGATGGCATCATGACACTTTCCACTGACAAAAAAAAAATTACACTTCGATATATTAATAAATCCACACTGTAACCAATCTCTTTGGTTGGGCGTGCTCTTGGATCTTCTTCGAGACTCGTCCTAAAGCTGGTAATCTGAACATAATTACCCCTTCGCGGTCAAGGTTAAAACGCATCTCTACCAATTTCAATGAATACGAATAAAATTTCATATCGGATCGGCCGTCAACCGGGACAACAAGGGCCGCGTCCCTCAGAGAGGAACCAGTCTGAGGACGAAAAATCTGTCACTGGAACAAACTCTTCCACACACGAAGAGACACTAGGTCACTAAACCCAGATTATTGCCAACCTTGGACCAAGTGACTCAATAGCAAATCGACTAATAAAAAGTAAACGAACGAAATGGAGCCGCGAAGAGTATCGACAAGTCATGACATCCTTCTTCACTGCACTCGAAAACCCAGCAAAGAACACCACCAATCAAACTTACCAAATATGGAGAAGTATGGTGGAAAATGATATAAGACCTACTCTATTATTATTATTATTATTATTATCATCATTATTATTATTATTATTATTATTGTTTTTGTTGTTGTTATTTCATTTATATAATCATTTCTTTTCGGGCCCCAGCCAGAGACCCAAGGTCAGAAATGGCATCATGACATTTTCACAGTGTATTTTTGTGAAAAAAAACCCCACAAAATGCCAATATCTGCACTGGAAAATATGCAGCTTTTACAAGAAAGGAAACTGCAAGAAACTAGTATGAACACCACCTAGACTTAGTTACGGAGATATGACCTGTAGCAATTTTATGGGACTCTAAAATAGACACAGACTGATCAATCAAAGCTAATCGCCTAGACAACATGATCAAAGACCACGAAAACAGAATGTGCTTT